GCCTGCACCTGCTCACTCTGTGGCCCCTGCTGGCCTCTGACCTCTCTGTCCTGTGCAGCACTGTCCCCTGGCACCCAGCATGGTGTTTCCTGGGCCTCCAGCAGGTCCACAGTGATGGAGGACCGCCCCCAGCATAGGGGCGGTCACGTTCAGTCTGCCTGTGCTGGGTCTCAATTCCCTCCCCGTGGGAGAGGGGAGACTCAGCTGCCGTTCACTGAGTTTAGGGATGCTCTTTATTGAGGTTTTACAAAATTCTCGCTGTTCTGATTCAGCTTAGGAGGTCCCTTTTGGAGCAGAGCTGGGAAGAAACCCAAGTTTCCAAGCACACACACTCACTTGCCTCTCTTCTTCCCGTGATCCTGGCCTCCTAATCTCCACCAGTGTTTCCCGGCGCCGGGCTCTGGGTCTTCTGGGCCCACAAGGAGCTGTCTTTGAAGCCAGCAGCTGTGCTAGCCACATGCTGAGTCACTAGTCCTGCTTGCATCAATCAGGGGCAAATTGCTTTCTTGAAGCTACGCAGGCATGACAGCATGGGGCACTCTCAACGCAGACGCCAGCATCGCCCCTACAGCTCCCCCCAGCACACACTGAGCCGGAGGCAGCCTTGGCCTCCCAGATTGGCCCCTTCTGTGCTAACAGGTGGCCCGTTCTCCTCCTGCTGCCTGCACGGAGGCATCACAGTGGAACCGGACACACGTGCGCTGGCAGTGGAACCGGAAACACGTACGCGGGCAGTGGAACTGGACACATGTACGCGGGCACTCTAAAAAGTCTATAGAATAGAATTTAAAGACACTTTCATTATGTGCCCAAATTTTTCTGAAAATCATTCATTGATTTTCCATAATACACAGTTCCGCCAAGTTTTGGAAGCTCCCTCGTATTTCTGACACTTACCAGTGAAATCCGGATGCCAGGTAACTGGCAGCTCTCAGTTCTGACCTCTTGCTGCTAACTCCTTAGTTCATAAACCACAGGTTCTGAGCACTTTCTGGGCTCAACAGTGAACATGATCAGGTTTTAAAGACTGATTTATTTAGTTGAAGGGTGGAGTGATAGAGAGGGGGGAGGGAGGGAGAGAGAGGGAGAGAGAGAGGTCCTCCATCCTCTGGTTCACTCCCCCAATGGCTGCAATGGCTGCAATGGTCCAGACTGAAGCCAAGAGCCCAGAACTTCATCTGGGTGTCCCACATGGGTACCAGAGGTCCAAGCACTTGAGTCATCTTCTGCTGCTTCCCCAGGTGCGTTAGCAGGGAGCTGGATGGGAAGCAGAGCAGCTGGGACTCAAACCGATGCTCTGATATGGGATGCCGTCATCACAGGTGGCGGCTGCACCTGCTACGCCACAGTCAGTTTTTAAACAGTTGCTCTAATGTTGTTATCTTTATGCACCTTATCTCACAGATCGATTTATGGAGTACTGTGATAAAGTTGCTTTAGACTTCTGCTTAAGACCCCCACAAAGACTCCCCTTACCCCAGCAGTGTTTATCAAGCCAGATGATCCTTGGCAGTGTGACCAAGTTCTTTGGAAAACGGTATCAGAGGCACGGGTAGCTGCCCCCGCATTGGAGCAGTCACTGGGTAACTAGCAAGAGATTCAGACTTGACGTGGGGTTGGGGCTCCGTGGAAGGCATTTAAGGGAAGGGTCAGACTTGCATTTTGAAAAACGATCCATGTGGCTGCAGCATGAAGGTGGACCTGGAGGGAGATGAGATTCGGGAGGAAGGAAGGGAGGTGACGGTGGGTGCGGGGAATGGGAAGAGAGCCGAGAGATTTCCACAGGGGTTTTAACGGGGACAAGGGGGTGAGGGGAGGCAGCAAGCCAGGCATGCTGAGTGGGGCTGGAGATCACACGGAGTGGACCCGGCATTCTTGTGATGCCGAGAGGGGAGGCGTCAAGTGGTCGGATGTGTGTTGGAACAGAGGAGGGGGCAGCATGTGGCGCCTGATGAGGAAGAGCCTAGGGGTCTGGTTCTGGAGGCAGAATGCTAACTCCAGGGTGTGTGTGTGCTGGTGAGCCTTGGGGAGTTGCTCAGAGCACGTGGGAGGCGCGCCCGTGCCCCTGGGCCTCCCCACAGGCGCGTGCAGGCGTGCGGCCGAGGGTGATGGATACACTGTCCTAAACAGCCGCACATTCCTGCCTGACATCTGCAGCCCCAGGCCGCATTCCCTGCATGCCGCCCCTCCGCCGAGCAGGCCGACAAGGCCCACCCCCCGGGAGCTTACCCAGGCCATTCCTGGAGTGAGCCCCCCATGGCCTCCTGCCACAGGCACCTCGCTGAGGGCACAGCGGGCAGTGCATATGGGGGAGGACCCGGCTGGCTCAGGGTGGGCGGTCACCACTTGAACAAAGGTTCTTCAACAAGTTCACGGAAAATGCATACATATATATATATATATATATAAATTATGCATGGATTCCAAACAATTTTTTGCACCCCACATAAATTTATTTTTATTTCTTCCCGCTTTTCCATGTGCCCTCACGTTTATTTGCCTGCTTTGGAATTATGCAGGGGCAAGAAAGGAACTCCTGTATGTCTTCCCCGAGGAGTCCTGCAGGCAGCCGAGAGACCCCGCGGCTCTCCTAACAAATTCTGCCCTGTCGCCACCTTCCCGTTCCCTACGTGATGGCCCCCATCCTCTTCTCTTATACCTGTCCCTCCCCTAGCAAACAGCTCTGCCCACTTACGGCAGCGCCACCTGCCCTGCATGTGTGCCCCCCCCACCCCGAAGTGTCTTTGCTCTGTGGTGCACAGGCACTGGTGCCCGGCCTGCTCGGCTCAAAACAGCTGTCCCTGGGGCGTGGGAGGAGAGCACCGGGCCCAGGAATCCCCCACTTGCTCCAAACTACCACCCAAGTACAGGGCCAGGGCACACCAAGGGGTCCTGGCCTGGCCTGGGTCACAGCTCTCTCTATGCTCTGGCCATGTCCCCGACTGCTTATACTCGCTCTTCTGTCCCTGTATCCAGGCCCCAGGTCTGCAACCCGCCTCCCCAGGCTTGTCTTCTCCCCACCCCCAACACCTTCCTCCCATCTCAGATTCCCTTGATCCTGCCATTCCCCCTCCTCCCTCCAGAACCTGCATTCCACTCCTGCTGCCAGGCTAGGCCCAGCTCACCCTGGTCCCTCCTCGGCCACCTCCTCCAGCCCCCTCTCCCCAGCCCCTCCACCCCTGGGACCGGTACCTCCTGTTCTCCCTGGTTCTCTTGTGGTGTTTACATTGCCTTTCGGGGTCCTCTCATCACATCCCACTGTGCAAAGCGAGTGTTTTCCCTTTCTCGTTAAGCCCCTGTAGCTTGAGGAAAGGAGCCCGCCTCCCCCGCCCTCCTGAAGCCTGACCACGGGCATGGCCTTCCCCACAGTCGCGCTTCCCTCTGACATGCGCCGCCTGTGTGGCATCAGGCCTGATTGGCATATCTGCACCCTGGACTGGGAGGTGGGGTGCCGTGTTGATTTGCAGGCAGCCTTGCCCGGGAATGTTCCTGTCTTGCTCTTAGTGCGGCTCTCATTCTCCGAGCACCAGCAGAACCCGAAATTCTGCCGCAGACCTGGGATGCATTTTCAGACAGTTCTTTTATCCCAAGGAACAGTTGTGTCTTCGTGGCCTTGGACTTGGGGAGGGTAGGGGCTGTGGCTGTCTGTGAGATGGGAACACTGTTCTCTGCCTCCTCTCTGGCTAGTGTTTCCTCTTAACCCATCCCGGAGAGGAAGTTCGGCCATTCCTTGCTGCAGCTTTTCTTTGTCACTGGCTGTTTGTTTTTTAACCAGAGAAGCATGCACCTGTTCTGATACAGTGTTGCAGAAAATGTGCTGCCTGTAGGCCGGCGCCGCTGCTCACTAGGCTAATCCTCCACCTTGCGGCGCCGGCACACCGGGTTCTAGTCCCGGTCAGGGCGCCAGATTCTGACCCGGTTGCCCCTCTTCCAGGCCAGCTCTCTGCTGTGGCCAGGGAGTGCAGTGGAAGATGGCCCAAGTCCTTGAGCCCTGCACCCCATGGGAGACCAGGAGAAGCATCTGGCTCCTGCCATCGGATCAGCGCGGTGCGCGGGCCGCAGCGCGCCGGCCGTGGCGGCCATTGGAGGGTGAACCAACAGCAAAGGAAGACCTTTCTCTTGTCTCTCTCTCTCTCTCTCTCTCACTGTCCACTCTGCCTGTCAAAAAATTTAAAAAAAAAAGAAAAAGAAAAAGAAAATGTGCTGCCTGTAGAACAAACAAAGTGAATCCATGCATGTCTGGCAGTATTCGGGACTCAAAGCCTAGGAACATTCTAGAGTGCCGCCGATCATGTCTGTGCAATTTGGGGGGGGGGCCCAGGTGGTTGCAGGATGAGGTAGACTCACTGCCCACTGCTTCCCAGCATGCTCTGTGATGCCAATCTTGGGAGAGGAGAACGGCTCTATAACTGGCCAGTGAGGGGCAGAGGAAGTGACTTGGGTCTGCCTCCTGGACTGGGGCGGCTGAGGGAAGCTCTGTGATTGATTTGGTAGGAGGCAGCTGGCGTGCAGAAACACGAAGGAGACAAGTCTGGCCAGAGGGCCTGACTTCAACAGGGCCAACCCAGAGTTCTCAGGTTCGGGAACTTTCCTGGAAAAGCAGGAGCGGTCCAGGGCCGTCTTTTGCCCATACAGCACGTGCTGACGTAGCACAGCCAGGGCTGCGTGCCCAGCCGTGTCAGGTTCATGAGTGCAGGAGCACAGATCACTGAGCTGCATCATGTCTTAGTCTACTCAAGCTCGCTGGGGTAACCCGGAGACTTCTGTGCACGTCTGGGGGTTGGCACTGTGGAATCTTTGCCGGCCACACACACAGAGCCATGAGTGGCTGAGGCATCGAAGGAGCGGCTTTGCTCCATACCAACCCCAAGCTCTCGGCTAGCACACGTTGGCTCTGGTTGACCTGGTGTTACCAGTGCGCCATTTTTCCCCCCCGGGGCTGTAACCTTGGTCTGATCCTTCTCCTCTCGCCCCTTCCCGATCGCGTGCCTTCTGGGAAGAGAGAACCACAGTGAGATCGAGCGGCGCCGGAGGAACAAGATGACCCAGTATATTACGGAGCTGTCGGACATGGTCCCCACCTGCAGCGCGCTGGCCCGGAAGCCGGACAAGCTCACCATCCTGCGCATGGCTGTGTCGCACATGAAGTCCATGAGAGGCACCGGGAACAAGTCCACGGACGGCGCGTACAAGCCTTCCTTCCTCACTGAGCAGGTACCGGCTCTCCTGCCTCCCCGGGCATCCTCGCGGGCTCACCAGCAAGGACTAGACCACCTGGGGAGCTACAGCTCGAGGTGGACGAAGGGACACAGCCAGGGAGATATGTCTCGCTCTGTGCCAAGAGGGTGTGAGGCCAAGCCTTCATATTCCCTGTGTGCGTTGCAGAGGCACCGCTCTGAGGACACTGGAGCCTGTCTCTGGACACGCTTAGCGGGCTGTCATGGGAAGAAGTGGGTACGAAGCACCGTGTGCCACGAGAGGCGTGGTGGCTGCCTTCAGGGTCATAGGGACAGAGAGTGCCACCAATAGCACTCAGCAGGGGTTTGTCACGTGCCTGGCCCAAGTCCTGTCTCTCTGTGTGTTATGCCATCTAGTCCTTATTCAAGCCCAAGGAAGAAGCTACAGCTGTAGACCGGGACACTGAGCCCAACTCAGTCAGCTGCTTAAGGAAGGGGCCACGAGTTGGCACCACAAAGACGGGTAGGTAGGACCTCAAAGCTGGGTCTGTGACAACTCTCGGGGTCTTTGGGTAGCCTGGAAGAAGCAACTCACGACATAGCGTATCCATGGGCTCACAGGAGTCAGGAGCGCTGGTCCTCCCACGTGCAGGTTGCAGGACCGGTCAGCAAACCCTCACAGCTTCAGTTTGCTCATCTGTGAGACAGGGGCGAAGCTGTCTGCCTTCCTGATTCTGAGGATTTTGCAGGATCCACGAGATGAAGGACTGAAGGCACTTTGTGCAGGACAGAGGGGCGGGAAGGGATAAAATGACACGGGTGCCAGGAGATGCAGCCAGGAAGTGCCAACGCATGTAGAACACGGGCATTTAACAAGATGAGAGTGTGTGGCCAGCACAGAATGGGGGTGGGGGCGGTGCCTGGTGTTGTCGGGAAGGAGTCCCCACCAGTGTACTGAAGAGGGGAACAGAAGGAATTTTGCTAACGGGGATGGTGCGCCCAGAGCCTCAGAAGACAGAGCGGAAAAGGTGTGGGAGGAGATGAGGGCGGGCATTTGTTCTGCTGCTGGAGCCCAGAGTCTATTTCTGTCGTGGGAGTCGAGCTTAGAAAAAGAAGGAGGGAAGAGGAACTGGCGTTTGTCACTGCGTGTCCTGTGGAGACGTTTTAACGAGTGCTTTACCTGCCGGCTCCCTTTGACAATCTGTGGAAGAGTCACACGGTCCCACACTTGGCAGGTGTCAAAGGAGGACACGCTGATTGACACACGGGGCTTGTAGAATGATGAAGGGGGACCAGCTGGCAGGAAACCCCACGGAAGTTTATTAAGTGCCACTGTCTGCTAGAGTTGGTTCAAAGCTGTATCTCCACTTTTCTTTATTCCTTATCCAAATCCTGCAAACCGGTACTAGAAATGAATCTCTGTCTTAAGAAATTGAGTAATCAGCTAATTTGATTTGTTTAAAAGGCAGAGAGGGAGCCGGCGCTGTGGCAGATGAAGCTGCCCCCTGAAGTGTCAGCATCTCACGTGGGCACCTGTTCCAGTTCCAGCTGCTTCTCTTCTGACCCAGCTCCCTGCTGGTGGCCTGGGGAGAGCAGCAGAAGATGGCCAAGTGCTTGGGCCCCTGCACCCATGTGGGAGACGTGGAGAAAGCTCCTGGCTCCTGGCTTTGGTCTGGCCTAGCCCTGGCCGTTTTGGTCATCTGGGGAGTAAACCAGCAAATGGAAGATCTCTTGCTGTCTCGCTTTCCCTCTGTAACTGACTTGCAAACAAATAAATAAATCTTTAATCAGAAAAAAAAAGCAGAAAGAAAGAGAGAGAGAATCTCCCTTCTGCTGGTTCACTCCCCAGATGCCCACAGTGGCTGAGACTGGGCCAGGCTGAAGTCAGGAGCTGGGAACTCCATTCTCGTTCCCAACATGGGTGGCAGGAACCCAACTATTTCAGCAGCTACTGCTGCCTCCCAGGGTGTGCGTTAGTTAGTGGGAAGCTGGAATCGGAGTGGAGCAGCTGGGACTCGAACCCAGAGACTGACAGTGGGCGTCTGATCTGCTGGTGCAAACGCCACTCTTTATGTGACCAGATTAGGAAGCGGAGAGGAGAGAGGCCGCTGTGCAGATGTCTGAGTCGAGCCCGGGGTGAAGATAGCTACACTTGTGGAGAGCGCCTACTGTGCGCCAGGCCCTACTAAGTTCCTCCCACACAGGAGCTCATTTAACCCCAGGAAAGCTCACTGGAAAAAGCTGGTGTGGAGCCGGGGGAGCCGAGGACGTTAAGTTACGTGCGCAGAGTTGCACAGCGAAGACGAGGGGCCCTGGGTGACAGTCTCCTTTTCTTCTGAAATCCATGCCGTTGGGACCGGTGCTGTGGTGTAGCAGATAAAGCCACCACCTGCAATACCGGTGCTGATTCATGTCCAGGCTGCTCCACTTCTGACCCAGCTCCCTGCTGATGTGCCTGGGAAAGCAGCGGAAGAGGCCCTAATGCTTGGGCCCCTGCATCCATGTGGGAGATCCAGTAGAAGCTCCTGGCTCCTGGCTTTGGCCTGGCCCAGCCTGAGCCATTGCAGCCACCTGGAAAGTGAACCAGCAGATGGAAGATCTCTCTCTCCTCTCTCTCTCTGGAACTCTGACTTTAAAATTAAAAAAAAAAAATCTTAAAAAAAAACACACACACACAAAAATCCATGCTCTTAGCCTCTACTGAGCCAAGGCAGGGCAGGGTCTGGATGGTGGTGCGTGACTGCCGAAGAAGAGCGCTGGGGAGGAGGGTGGGAGGGGGAGGGGCCGCGGGGAGGGGAGCTGTCCCGTGTGACCTTCCCACGGCTGAAGACACCCCTCCTCCCACGACAGAGAATTCTCTACTTCCCCAGACACCCTGCATCTTCCTTCCTTTCTGTTTTTATTTTGAAACAGTTCTTCCGGTTGGGAAGACCTGAAAATAAAAACTGCTGATCCCATCCCCGGAGCGCACTGAGCACCCAGGAGGCACAGAGGAGCAAGAGACACGGGCGAAATGCACGCTTTCTTTGGACATGCTTGTGTGGTCGCCTGCCCCCTCCTCCAACCTCATAGCCGGCCTGGAGCCGAGAGCCCCACACAGAGCTCCCCAGGCTGAGCTCCGGGCAGGCGGCGCCTCCAACGCTTCTGGTCTTGGGCGCCCTGCAGGGGCTGGGGTTTAGGCAGGGCCAGAGGTTCTGGAAGCTCACCTTTCACTTTGCTCTGCTGGCCCTGCCTATCTGGGTCTTACAGAGGGGCTTCCCTGTAAGATTCTGTTTGAACAAAGCATTCCTGGCTGAAGAGGGTTTGCCAGGTGCTGAGAGCAGGGTGTGAGTGGGGTGCAGGGTGGCTGGGGACTGGGGCACAGGTGGGAGAGCTGGTTCCTGAACTCCTGCAGGTGCAGCAGGGCCAGGCAGCTGAGCCGGATGTGAGGATGGCACAGGTAGCTGCACTTGAACCACCTTCAGGTCCCCCCAGACAAAAGACGTCTCATTCTAACAAAGTCACGTCTCTCGGGGGTGACACGAGACTTCCTGCTGCCTGTTCATTGATCCCAGGCAGCTTCCTTCCGGCCTCACTGGCAGCCACAACCGCGGCGAGACAGCCTGACCCCCGGAGCTGACACTCACAACCTCTGCTCAGCGAAACGTGATCTGGGTGATGCTGTCTCACGGCTGTCTTCCTGCTGCCCCCCAAAGCTTCCTCTGTCGAGATGAGGGGATGGTTGGCAGAGTTCTGGGTGCCCGGCAGAGAGGCAGAGGCATCCAGCTCAGAAACTCAGAGATAAGAGTGCAGGAAGCACTGTGGCAGACAGGGATGGGGTGGGGAGACACAGCCCCTCCTTCCCCAATCACCACCCAGCGCCTGTGTGTGAGCACTTCTGCAATGACGCACCTACAGTTTTAGTGTGTGTGTGTGAGCCTGTCCATGCCTCTGGATACTCAACACCCACTTAAAAAAGATTTATTGATTTGAAAGGGTTACAGGGATGGGGAGAGAAGTCTTCCACCTGCCAGTTCAATCCCCAAATGACCACAGAGGCCAGAGCTGGGCCGGGCCAAAGCCAGGAGCCAGGAACTGCATCTGGGTCTCCCATGTAGGTGGCCAGAGCCCAAGCACTTGGGCCATCTTCTGTTGCTTTCCCAGGTGCATTCTCAGGGAGCTGGATCAGAAGCGGAGCAACAGGGACTGAGACCAGCACTCATATGGGATGCTGGTGTCACAGGCCATGGCTTAACCTGCTGTACCACAGTGCCGGTGCCCCCAACACCCTCTGATGGGCACTCCTTGCTCTTCCATCCCTCCTGGCTAGGAATTTCTCTTTCTCTAGGAAAGAACTGGTTAAGACAGGGACAATGATGTTTAAAGGAGCTGTGTCTTAGGGATGGTGCTATGTTTGTAGCTGACTTTCTGGTTAAAAAGGAAGAAGAGGAGAACTATTTGTATACCAGGCTGAATATTAGAATAAAAGCAGCGGAGGGTTGCTAATGAGAGCCCCGTTCGCCTGGTGCACTGGTGTCTGTGCTAACCACGGTGTTTTCTCCCCAGGAACTGAAACACCTCATCCTGGAGGCTGCTGACGGGTTCCTCTTTGTCGTGGCGGCCGAGACAGGGCGTGTGATTTATGTGTCTGACTCCGTCACCCCTGTCCTGAACCAGCCCCAGTCGGAGTGGTTCGGGAGCACCCTCTACGAACAGGTGCATCCCGATGATGTGGAGAAGCTGAGGGAGCAGCTGTGCACCTCGGAAAACTCGATGACGGGTGAGTGCGGCTCCCTCTGTCCGGGAGGCTGTTTGATCCTAAAATTAGTTTTCCCAATCCATAGACGAGGATGTCAGGGGTCGTTAGGAGCTATCTGAAAGAGAAGTGACATATTTGACTTGTCTTCAGTAATGATGCCATTCACCCTAGAACTCTTGAAGATCCATTTTTCATCTATCACCTCTGTATTTTACCTGCAATACACACACATTACCACTAGGAGTCACAACCGATCCATTAGTCAGATCTACACCTCTGTATAGCTGGTGTGTATTTTTGCTCCCCCGTGCTGTTAGGAAATGGTGGAAGGGTAGGGCTGTGTTATCAGGTAGGAGGGGTTTTAACTCCCAGTGTGGACTGGCGTGGCTTATTCCGCGGGCTGGACGGGAGACCTGCTAGATGTCTGAGGGGTGTGCCTTCAGTGTGCTCCCGTGTGGGCGGCTCAGCCGAGTGTTGTTTTTCGTGTTCATCTAGTATTTCTTGCAGAAACACAAATAGAAAAGGCACATTACGTTCAAATTGTTCCCTAATGTAGCAGTCACCCTGGAACGCATCGGCATGTTCAAAGCGTCAGAAGCATTCATATTTGCGTCTCCCACATAGCAGTTCCAGGTGTGCTGTCTCCTGTCCCTGACTGTGGAGTGAGCTGTTGGTCTCTCGTGTACTCTTGCGTCTGCCCACCATGCTTTGCACAGAGTAGGCATTCAGCAGGAGCCCGATGGGGAAGTGTGTCCGTGTTCTCTGCTCACTGCAGTCTGTGGGGGCTGCCCTGAAAAGACCGAGGACTGAGGCCTGCGTTGTGGTGCAGCGGGCTAAGCTGCCACTTTCGACACCAGCATCCGTATGAGCACTGGTTCGAGTCCCAGCTGCTCTACTTCTCATCCAGCCTTCTCCTAATGTGCCTGGGAAGACAGGATGATGGCCCGAGTAGTTGGGCCTGTGCCACACACGTGGGAGACCTGGATGGAGCTCTAGGGGCATTCTCAGCTGTTGCAGAAATTTGGGGAGGGGGCTGGTGCCGTGGCTCACTAGGCTAATCCTCCACCTTGCGGCGCCGGCACACCGGGTTCTAGTCCCGGTCGGGGCGCCGGATTCTGTCCCGGTTGCCCCTCTTCCAGGCCAGCTCTCTGCTGTGGCCCAAGAGTGCAGTGGAGGATGGCCCAGGTGCTTGGGCCCTGCACCCGCATGGGAGACCAGGAGGAAGCACCTGGCTCCTGGCTTTGGATTGGCACAGTGCGCTGGCTGCGACTCACCGGCCGTAGCAGCCACTTGGGGGGTGAACCAACGGAAAAGGAAGACCTTTCTCTCTATCTCCCTCTCTCACTGTCCACTCTGCCTGTCAAAAAAAAAAAAAAAAAAAAAAGAAGAAATTTGGGGAGTGAACCAGCAGATGGAAGATCTCTCTCTCCCTTTCTCACCCTGCTTGAATCTTTAAAAATAAAAAGACCCAGATCACGGTGCTTCTGTAACAGAAATGGAATTCCTCACAGTTCTGGAGAGCTCAGAAGCCCCGGGTCAAGGCAGCAGCAGAAGTGGTATCTGCCGGGGGCCTGCCTTCCGGTTCACAGGTGACATCGTCTAGCTCTGTCCTCCTCTGGCACCGTGAGGGCACTAATTCCAGCCGTGGGGGCGCCCTCCTGACCCAGGCACTTCCTAACGCCTGCACCCTGCAGACTGGGGCCTCTGCACAGGAGCCTTGGGGAGGTGTGAGTGCTCCACCCGCTACACCTGAGGTCAAGGCGTGGCAGGCCTGGGCTCCCCTGCAGAAACCCACGTCCTCACCATGCCTCACCCCGTCTTCCTGCACGCATGTCTGCATCCCCGTTGCATCTTGGTCTGCTCATGAGGACGCCTGTCCTGTGGGATTCTGGGCCATGGGACCCCAGTGACCTTTGCAAAGTCCTGCTCTCCAATGCAGTCACACTCTGGGGAACTGGGGATTACAGCCGCAACATGCGGAGTGTGGAGAGCATACAGCTTCATCCATGATTCATTTTTTTTAAAAAGATGTATTTATTTGAAAGTCAGAGTTACAGACACACACACACACACACACACACACACACAGAGAGAGAGAGAGAGAGAGAGAGAGAGGGAGAGAGAGGTCTTCCATCCAATGGTTCACTCCCCAGTTGGCTGCAATGGCCAGAGATGCACAGATCCGAAGCCAGGAGCCAGCAGCCTCTTCTGGGTCTCCCACGTGGGTGCAGGGGCCCAAGCACTTGGGCCATCTTCCACTGCTTTCCCAGGCCATAGCAGAGAGCTGGATCGGAAGTGGAGCAGCTGGTTCTTGAACCGGTGCCTGTATGGGATGCTGGCACTGCAGGCCAGAGCATTAACCTGCTATGCCACAGTGCCGGTCTCCATTCATGATACCAAATCAGGGGAACGGCACTGTGGCACAGCAGGTTAAAATCCTGGCCTGCAGTGGCGGCATCCCATATGGGTGCCGGTTAGAGTCCTGCCTGCTCCACTTCCAATCCAGCTCCCTGCTATGGCCTGGGAAAGCAGTAGAGGATGGCCCAAGTCCTTGGGTCCCTGCACCCATGTGGGAGACCCAGAAGAAGCTCCCGGCTGCTGGCTTTGGATCAGCACCGCTCTGGCCATTGCAGCCATCTAGAGTGAGCCGTCAGATGGAAGATTCTCTCTGCCTCTGCTCTGTAAGTCTGCCTTTCAAATAAATAAATAAATCTTTAAAAAAGAAAGACCAAATCAGATGTCAAAAGTGACAGAAGAAGGTGGACGTTTGGGCTGGAGGTTGAGGCACCTGTGTCCCCATCCCAGTACCTGGGCTCAGCTTCAGACTCTGACTCGGTGGGGCAGACCTGCAAGGCAGCAGTGACGGCTCCAGTGCTTGGTCCCCTTCACCTCTGCGGGAGACCAGGTGGAGTTTCCCAGCTCCCGGCTTTGGCCTTGGCCCAGCCCTGGCTGTTGCAGGCGTTTGGGGAGTGAACCAGTGGATTGGAGCGCTCTCTCTCTGTGTCTCTCTCTCTCTTTTTTATTTATTTATTTATTTATTTATTTGACAGGCAGAGTGGATAGTGAGAGAGAGAGAGACAGAGAGAAAGGTCTTCCTTTGCCGTTGGTTCACCCTCCAATGGCCACTGCAGCTGGCGCGCTGTGGCTGGCGCACCACGCCGATCTGATTGCAGGAGCCAGGTACTTCTCCTGGTCTCCTATGGGGTGCAGGGCCCAAGCACTTGGGCCATCCTCCACTGCACTCCCGGGCCACAGCAGAGAGCTGGCCTGGAAGAGGGGCAACCGGGACAGAATCCGGCGCCCCGACCGGGACTAGAACTTGGTGTGCCAGCGCCGCAAGGCGGAGGATTAGCCTAGTGAGCCGCGGCACCGGCTCTCTGTGTCTCTCTTTCTCTCTCTCTGTTTCTCTGTCTCCTTGCCTTTCAAACGAACCTACAAAGCGTTAGAAGTTTGGCTGTTTCTGCAGCAAGGTGGTCCCATTCTCAGTGTTGGTGACCAGTGACATGGGAAAGGGGGAGGACGAAGGAGCAGTGAGGCTGGCCCTGGGTCTCTCGGCCGAACCAGCAGTGCTCCGACAGACCCAGAAAGCCTCACTCAGTGCCCGCTGCCCGGGCTGAGCCAGAGGTCTGCACCTAGAGACCCTAGGGACCATACTATACAAAGGGAAATGTTGGAGGTTGGGGGAGGGTTGGGGGGATGAGAGGGAAGGCAGTCACCCTGGAAGTGCCAGTCTGATGGCTCAAATCACCTCTGTGTTGCGCTGTCTCCCCCAGATTGCTCTGTGGGGCCACAGGCTGTGGCTTCCTGAAAACCAGGTCAGGAGACCCAGTGTGGGCAGGCGGCAGGGGCAGTGGAGGGCAGGTCAGGCTCGGGCCAAGGGCGGAGCCCTTCAGAGAGCCCTCTGTCTCTCTGAAGCCTTTTGAAGTTTTTTTCCTGTTTATTTATTTATTTGAAAGGAGAGAGAGAGAGACTGACTCCTGTCCACTAATTCTCTCTCCAGATGTGCACAACAGCTGGGACCGGGCAGATAGAAGCCAGGGATGTAATCCAGGCTGCCCACATGGGTGGCAGGGACCCAATTATTTGGGCCATCACCCATCACCACTGCCTGCCCAGACCTGCATCAGCAGGAAACTGGAATTGGAAGCCGGAGCTGGGAATTGAACCCAGGCACTTTGATGTGGGACTGTGGGCGTCCTAACAAAAGGCTTAATGCTTGCTCTTGTGGGAAAAGTCTTCCTGTGTCTGGCAGAGTTCACAGGGGACTGTATGGACTGGGTTTGGACAGAAACGTCCTTGGAGGGGACACTGGGCTGGGGCCACGGTGGCCAGAGCTGGCAGGAAGTGCAAGAAGTCGTGCTGGGTGCAAGAGGAGACCCGGTGAATGGTGGCCAGCCAGGCCTAGGAGCTGTCCTCCTGGCTGGGCTCCCCCTGCACGGATCAAGACAGGGCTGGGGAAGTGAGTCCTCGCCCTTAGGACGAGGTCTGTATCTGAGCCAGCCGGCGTGTAATGTGGCTGTCGCAGGATTCACACAGGAGAGCTTGGAAGAGCTCCTTAGATTCAGGGTCTCTGCAGGGGCCTGGTGCCCGGCAGAGGCCAGGAGCCAGGCTTCTGTGGTTGCCGCCGAAGGGCAGGTGCAGTGACAACTGGTGCTGAAAAGCCTCATGGGGTCCTTCAACACTGTTGAGGACTGGACTAGGGTCTCCCAAGCCTTTGTGTTCCTAAACTTTGGCTTGGTTTCAGGACCCAGAAGAGGTGGCATGGTCCACAGTGGGGGGTCAGGGTGGGAGGCTGGCAGGGTTGTGGGATTGAGTGAGGGGGGCATTTAGCTCAGGCAGCCTTGCCCCTTCTCCCGGGAGCTCCCCTCCTCTGGGCAGTCAGCGTCTCATTCATTGGCCGGGCAGGGTCGCTGGTACTGCATGGGGTCGGGGGTTGGGGGAGAGGGGAGGGGTGTGTGTGCACCACCGGAGGGGGACAAGGAGCTGAACTGCAGTGGGGCCTGCAGACTCCCCTGCTGGTC